TCTCTCTCTCTGTCCAAATTTTCAAAAAAATTAATAATAAAACTAAATAAAGTAATTCATTTTTAAAGAATTATTTAATTTCATATATTGTCTTTTTTAAAAAATTTTATTATTTTGAAGTTGACCGGAGAGAGGGGAAGTGAGAAGGCAAGCTTCCAGGTCTGGGACTCAAACCGCGGTCAGCCATGTGGGAGTCCACCCACCTTAACCACCATGCCACTTGTCGGCCCCAGTTAAGTAATTCTTTTTTTTTAACTTTATTTATTATAATTATTATTTTCCAGTTTGATCAGAGAGACAGAGAGAGAGAGAGGGGAAGTGAGAAAGCAAGCCGCCAGGTCCAAGACTTGAACCGTGGTTGGCCATGTGGGAGTCCAGGGCCTTTAACCACCATGCCACTTACCCGCCCCTTAAGTAATTCTTTAAAGAAAGGAAAAGTTTTTTTTTTTTTTTTTTTTAGGGATATTTCCTTATCTTTTTAAAAATAAATTATACTTTTTTCTTTTTATTAAAGCTCATCAGAAAACTCCCCAAAGTAGTTAAATCTTCATGCTTCAGGAATTTTTCACTCACAGAGCAGATCGCCACTTCCTATTTCAAACCCCAGGGCACTCACGCACCCCACGCGCCTCAATTAGCCGCCCGCGGCGCCCCTGTGCGGTCTCCACGATGCACGTCCTGCAGCCTGGGTCTCCGCAGGCGCAGCAGGGCTGCTCCTGTGACAGCCGGGGCAGGGCTTGCAGCGGCCAGACCCGGCATCCTCCGTGCGGAAAGCACCTCAAGTACAGACACCCTACACTCTCCCGGCCCTACAGACCAAAGGCTTTGGTTTTTTTAGGAAACACCAGTGCTGCGGGCCGTGGCGCAGCGGCAGGAGCGGGCGCCATGTTCCGCTCCGCGTGGGAGCCAGGCGCGAGGCTCCAGGTGGCCGGTGGAGGCACCAGGGCCAGCTGAGCTGGGGTGAGCAGCGCAGGCGAAGTCCTGTCGGGCGCTGTCTTTCTCGCTCATGGGACACAGTTATTTATTTTTGTGAGTTCACTTCAAACATTTTTTTATGAAGAATTCAGTGAATGTTGTTCATGCAAAGATGCTCGGAAACGGCCGACTTGTGCAAGTCCCCCTGTGTACAGAGATGCGTGTCTTCCTACAGCGGGCCCAGCCTCGGTCCGGGCTAGACGCCAATGCGCCAAGTCGCCCCTCGGCAGGCATGGCGCTCTCGGCTTCCTGTCCCGGTCGGATCTGCTGGCCGGCTTCGCAACACTCTGAGCTCAGCTCTCTGGGGGACAGGTGTGTCCGCACTTACACCTTCTTCCCCGTTTCCCATGGGCTCGGCCCCGCTGGCCCGAGTCGTGTTGCTGCACACCTGGGCACCTGGAAGAGGACAGGATGGAAAGGACATTCCAATCACACTGAACTTCCATCTGTCCGGAATATTTTCCTTGTTTATCTGTGTGGACCAGGTTCCACGCATCAGCGACTTGTGCCCGGGGTGGGACCACGCATTGGAGCACGTCAAGCGCTCGCCTCTTTCTCGCTCTTGCCCATCTTCTCCTCCGCAAGCCCGGCTCGTAGCCTCTTTCTTGTGCATCATTCCTCTCGCTCTGACAAGCTCCTGATTTGTCTTGTTCTCCAGGCCGAGCCTGTCCCTAACACGGTGGGCTACTCTGCGGTACGTTTCCGACTGCGTTCAAACCCGGCCCACGCCACGAGCCATGGTTGTTAACCTTTGGATTCTTCTCTGTTCAAGCCCCTCATGACCCACGCCTGCACAATGGTGGTCATTTTCATCACTTTTTGGGCGATTATGAATTTGTTTCTTGAAATATTTGGAAGATTTCTGTGTGTGGTCCAATTCTTTCAACCTTATGGTCAAGTTTAGCGTTCTTGCTTCTGGCGTGTCCTGCCCTGGGTCACGGCTGTGATCCTGGCTTCTCGTCCCACCGGGGTTTAGTACAGTAATTCTGAAGCACTGAGGATGATCTACAGGAACCAAGCCAATGCGGTCATGGGCAGAACGGGAAGACCTTGCCGACACAGCCCCTCTCCAATCACCCAGTGCTTGCCAGCTGCTTTCAGTCACCCCGTGGAAGAGACCACAGGTTGGGGCCAGCAGGTGGCCTAGTGGTTAAGGGCACTAGACTCCCACACAGTCAACTGGGTTTCGAGTCCCGGACCTGGCAGCTTGCTTTCTCACTTTCCTTCTCTCTCTAGTAAAATTAAAAAGTAAATAAATGAATAATAATAAAGTTCAATTCTAAAAAAAATTAATAAGAAATAAAAAAGAGGTCAGGGGTCATAAAGACAATGCAGGATGGATGACTAAGACAGGGATACAGTGCGTACAATATTCTGGGCTTCCCTGGGTCCGGCTGTTTTTCCTTCTCTTTTTTTTTTTGGAGAGGTTTTTGCTATAGGGTGCGTGCACTCACCAGAGAGAGACAGAGAGACAGAAGGTGAGAAATCACCCCCCCCCAGGGGGCACACTGCAATCCCTTCTCTTCTGTTCTCTCGGGATCTTGGGCACACATGCACGTGCACCTGGAGTGAGTTTAAGCCACCGGGTCTGGGACTCGAACTGCGGTCGGCTACATGGTAGTTCAGCAACATAGCCGTTATACCTACTGCTGGTCCCCCCAAAAAATCTTTAAGTTGCATAAAAAAGAAGAAAAGAAAGACCAGCCACAGAATGCTGGCGAAGCTGGTGCCTGAAGGACGTGAATGTGGCGTGGGTGCCCATAGCCCAATGAGTCAACCCAGCTGAGACTGGGTTTGGGGGCCGGCAGGTGCATGGTGACTAAGCTGCTGGACTCCCACATGGCCAACTGTGACTTGAGTTCCAGACCTGGCAGTTTGTCTTCTCACTTTACCTCTCTCTCGTCGGTCCCTCTCTGGTCAAATTCAAAAACTAAAAGCAAGGGGACCAGCAGTTAGCGTAATGGCTATGTCGCTGGACTCCCACGTAGTCGACTGCGGTTTGAGTCCCGGACCTGGTGGCTTAAACTCACACCGGGCGCTTGTGCGAAGATCCCGAGAGGAGAATGGAGGAGAAAGGATTGCAGTGTGACCATCCCCCCTGGGGGGTGATTTCCTGCTTTCTGTCTCTGTCTGTCTGGCGAGCGCACACGCCCTATAGCAAAAATCTCTCAAAAAATTTAAAAAATAAAAATAAAAATAAATAAAAATGAAAAGTAAGCTAGTAAGTAAATAAAGTTAAATAAAATAAAGACCCTGGGAGGAGAATAGAGGGGACAGCATTGCTGCATGGCCGTCCCCTGGGGGCGACTGCTCTCTTCCCCCCTCACTGTCTCTCTCTCTCAGGTGAGCAAACACTCTCTAAGGCCAAAACCTCTAAAAGGAAAAGGTGGAGGGAAAGGCGTGCAGCCCGGCCAGGCCCCCTGGAGTGGAGGGAGGCTGGCCATGTCACACAGGAGCGTCATGGCGCCCCAGACAAGACGGCGCCATGTTTCACTTTCATTGATTTATTTTTCGCTCTAAGACGAGTGCATGCAACAGAGAGCGAAGAGGCGGGAGTGAAATCCACTGCCATGCTTCTCCGAGCTCCTCTCCGGATTCCGGGAACAAACACACCGCAGAGTGCTTTTCAAGTGCCAGTCCTGACTCCAACCCTGAAGCCAGCCATGTGGGATCTAGCTGCATTAACCTCTCCATCCTGCTGGTCCTGCCTTTCACGTCACATGTCGGCTGGAACCAGCAGATGGCGTAATGGTTACGCTGGACTCCCATGTAGTTGATCAGGGTTCAAGTCCCAGACCCCGCGACTTAACACTCACGCCGGGCAGCGCGGGTGTGGACATCTGTGCGGGTGTGGACGGCAGGGAGGGCGCGCAGGGCAGTACGGGGGCTGTGCGGCGGGGCGAGCCCTGGAGGCGGCAGGCGGACCTGAGCGGGGGAAGCGACCCCAGCCCTGGAGCAGTGGGCCGACGGCGACGGGCGCAGGAAGCGGGTTCTGGGGCCGAGCCCTGCGGGGGCCGCCCTTACCCACGAGGGACGCGCCCACGAGGCCCGGCGCGCAAGATGGCGGTGGCGCGCCCTGCGCGTGCGCACCGGCCGCCCGCCGGGCGGGAGCGGAAGTCGCGTGACCCCGGAAGTGGCGGGCCGGGGGGGGCGCGGGCGGCGCGCGCGCGCGTGGG